TTTAATATAGCTGGTAAATGCATGATCTCAAATTGTATTTCTTACCTCCCAGGCTGGTACATTTTCCCTGAACTTCTCATTGACAATGCAGCAAATAGACATGAGGAAGGCGTTGCTGGACACCTCCGGAGTGTAGTTGACCCAAAGGTAGTTTTCCAGGTATTGACTGCAAGGAGATTGCATTATATTATTTTGACCTTGCTACATTGTTTTGTTTTTCATGAAAGGAGGGATCAAAGGTGGCACCTGAACTCCAGCAACATGATTTTCCTGATGGCAAATCTGAAAATGAAATGTGAAAAGAAACATATTAGTGACAAAATGTGAAACAGATGGATTGCCCAAATGTTACGTGTAAAAGTCCTTACTTGGACATGAGAATCTCTTTTTCATAAATATCTTCCATCACCTACACAAAAAAAGGCCATATTTGTAATTATCTCACATGATTTATGATTCCCATCAAACTAAAAGCAATCAACAAAAACTCACCTTTGGGTCAAAGGGCAATTTGTTTTTTGCATGAGGGGCCCAATATTTGTTAGCCAGCTGAAACAATACAAGACAAAACCATTAATACTCAGTTTAATGAAAAAAAATACGCGCAGAAACACCATTTTAGAAAACGGACTAAATTTTGTGTCAGGAGAGGGATTCTGGATATTTCTGGGGGGAGGGGGGGTTAACTTTAACGAACACGTAAAAAGAAAAAAAACTAGAACTTGTTATTCCGATAATCGAGAACAATTCAGAGATTTGTAAAGCACAGTTTCATGTGTGTTTTCTTGGGTGACCATATTGCACATTGATGACTACTGCAGCCATGCGTGTACTGCTGAGTATTACCTGTGTGACATGTTCGGCATTAATCTGCGACACAGATGGCGCCGCAACTTTTTTAGATGGTGTTTCCTTCTCCATGGTGGCTGTCCCAAGCATCTTTTCGTCAGAATCTGATACAGTCCAATAGATCATATAGGCACATGTATAAAAGAAAAAAAGACACGTGAATGAATGAAGCGGGATTTTAAGTAGACATGGTCGGGCGCCAAAACTCATCACTAACTGAGCAATGATAATATACATTATATGTCATTACTATTAACTTTAGTTCAAAATCAAGACAAAATTATAAGACTACCAGCTTTCCAGAATGAGACGACAGCGTATTTAAAACTTCGGCTAAGCTAATGTGAACACATGAGATCATCATTTCTCAGTGTGACCGAGTCTTCGCTGTCTTCAGATTGTTATAGCGAACATAATATTGAAATTTTAACATAATAACAGACCTTTTCTAATTTTATTAATTTCTTTCAGCATAGATGTGGAGCAACGTTGTTTCCAGTTGGTTTACGCATGTACACAACAAAACGCGTAGAACCCGACACACTTCCGGATTGAAGTCCGTCAAAAATGTATTCCGAAATGAAACAAAAACAAACGGCAACAATTGTTCCGATAGACCGAGTATTTGCTTTATTTTATTATTATTTTTAGAAATACTGCACAGTAAATTCACAAATAACTGTGGTTTTGAACAAAACATATTCCAAAAAAGACCACATTAGGATATTAGTAGCGGTTGTATTTGCCGCAATAATAATATTAGTGGGTGCCTGGAAAGCCACACCCACTCAGAAAGACAGCGAGTTGGCCGAAGACAAATGAGTCTCTGTTTTCATAATTTTCAACTGTAAAATATATCAAATGAAGAACTGCATTAGAAATAAACAAATTAAAAACGTAATACAAATTATTTATGTATCTATTTTCTTGTCAGTGAAGTGGTTTCACACTGAAAAGAAACTAAAACAAAAGGCAATTATTGTTCCCGGTAAGAGTATTTTTGCCGGTCACACCACAGCATCTCAATTGGATTCAAATCCAGACTTTGACTTGGCCACTCCAAAACCGATTTTTTTGTGTGTTTCTGAGGCATTCAAATGTAGACTTGCTGCTGTGATCTCACAGTGCTTGAGTTTGAGGCTGCAAACTGATGGTCGGACGTTCTCATTCAGCATTTTCTGGTCGACAACAGAAATCATTATCCCATCAATCACAGCAAGTTGTCTTGGTCCTGAAATGGCAAAGCAAACCTGGAACATCACACTGCCACCACCATGCTTCACTGTTTGCATCATATTCTTTTCAATCAAATAATGTGCCATTTCTACAGCAGATTTAAGGGCCCACACATCTTCCAAAAAGTTCGATTTTTGACTCATCAGTCCAGTGAATGTTTTTCCAAAAGTCTTGAGGATTATCAAGATGTCTTTTGGCAAATGTGAGACGACCCTTTGTGTTCTTTTTGGACTGGGAACCCTCACATACATGTCACCTTTCTTTTGTTTTCGTTTGAGATCTTGTTGCCTACTTCACTTCCACTTCCTCTGACAGATTCTATTTGTGATTTCATGATTCATCAAATGCTGGGGTGTTGCCTGTGATATTGAACTTAGCTTTCCCAAAACTGTGGTTAGTCAGTTATGTTGTGGTTTGACAAATGGGGTAATTGGGGGGAGCAATTATTTTTTCACATAGAGCCAGATAGGTTTTACATTTTCCCCCCTTGGTAAATGAAATCATCATTTAGAAACTGCATTTTATATTTTCTTGGGTCGTCTCGGTGTGATACTAAAATTGGTTTGATGAACTGAAACCTTTGTGTGTGATAAATATGCAAAAAAACCACAGAAATCGGGAACGAACATTAAGTTTCTTTTGCAGGAAAAATAAAACCTACCAACTGTAAAACTACGAGCATGACTACAGCTTTTTACGTTCGTTGCTTATTTTAGGCAGCAGAGGGAGGCACACACCATCCAATGGACCCATTTGAGGGCCTCTTGATTCAATATAACAGCAATTTTTTTGGAGGCTTTGAGCTGAAGACAAGGCTTTAAAAATATGTCAAGCATACATACACACAAAGCAGCCATTATAAAACAGAAATCACTCAAACATAAAAAACAAACAAACCAAAGGATGTCAGGAGGCGTCTCCAGCAGTGAGGTCACTCCCTAAACTCACTTTACTGTATGTAGCTATGGGGAATGAAAGTCTCCCACGCACACGCATTTATTTACACACACACACATACACACATCATCAGCCTGGTTGGCCTGGAGGAAGCAGCACACAGTTAAGTCCATGTGCAAGGCCAAAATGACAAGGGCCGCAGGCTGGTTGGTGCTAGGCGGTACACAAAGGACAACAATGTTGGTCACACACACAAAAAAAAAAAAAAAAAGGAAGAAGAAAAAAAAAAAGCCACTTTTTTGTATGTGGAGCGGTCGCATCTTGGCAGACAACGGACGCATGAGAAAAGCAAATGTCAGCCTGTCTTTAGTCATTTTGCAAGCCAGGACACAAAGACCGTCTTGTCACGGAACATTACGTCGGCCCAGCCGCGATCGGCATGATTACATCCTATTGGCTGTGGGAGCATCTCTTTGGAAACAGACGGAAACAAAGGTTTACGAATGCGAAGTGGTGGTTGATAGGAAAACTGCCTTGTGTTTATTTTGTTGTGATTTCAGGCAAGGGAAACAACATCAAGCCAGTCGTTGCATAATCAAAAGCTGGTTAGGCTATAATGCGATTTAAGTCTGATGGGCAAGACAAATGACTTCCCGTTAACAATTTTCCATGAACAAATAATCAACTCCATGGTCTTCATCATTTTCATTCACGGCTGTTCTTCACTTTCTATTGTAAATCCCAAAGACAACTCAAACAACCCCGGAGACTGTTTATAGCGATTATAAAAAATAGCAGGAGATCACAAGAATGAATGCAACAAGTCATCATCTACATTGGCATCATTATTTTTTTAATTCAACGTTGTTCTGTAATTTCCGACAAAGAGAGAATGTCGATGATTGATTTTACTTGCATATATGATGGAAGCATGATGTGATGGTTGTATCTAAAATCTATTTCAAGACAACTCTCCCCCTTAAATAATAAACAGGTACACACTTGATAGAACATTAGCTTGCTTGCTCATAAATAATTGCTTGTTTGTGTTGTTTCGACTCACAATAAAGAGAAAAAAAAATCTTCAGGCTCCATTGGCTGCCTCCATTGTTCAATTTTTGAGAGCAACAATCAAAACAACGGCAGGGCGGGTTGAGGATCGATAAGTAGGCGCGATCCTGCCGCCGCGTTGGTTGCGTGCGTTGAGGAGTGAAGATGCATTTCAACTCTGGTTCATCAATACAGTTCGTGATCTTTGAGAAAAGAAATGTTCCAGGAATGTTAATAGTGTTATTTTTTCCTTGCGTGCGGCGCGTGCGCGCACACACACACGCTTAATTCCTTGCCTGCAGCGGTGTGAGCTGAAGTCCCTCTCCTATTAACCAGGCTGCCTTGGAATCAATGGAAAACATAAAGAGGCTTAATCTTTTCGGGTGCCTGCTGCTGATTGCCTATTACAAAATAATAACACACCTCCAGTCCTGTGGAGCGCGAGAGGGAGAGACAGTCACATTAAAAGACTCACACTGGAATAACACACGGTCCCTCTGTTGCTTTACTACGACTGCGGCGGTGTTGTTGTCAGCTAGCGTGTTACCTGAAAACAAAGGGGGGATTAGAAGATGCTCTGTTGGAGCCTTTCTTTGTCTTCACAGACGACAAGAGCTACGGCGGGGTTATGCAAAAACTTGCACGCTGCGATCTGCTTTCAAATGTTTGTGTCATGTCAACAAACGGCGGACAAACACCATGTTTAACAATTGGAAAGTGAATTCGAAGCCTGTCCTGATTTGGCATTGGTTGCTAAGCTACATAACAGGTAAGTAGCCTGGTGTCGCAGTTTGGGAACGAACTGAAAAGCCACCGGATCCCACAAACGTAGACGCCAAACAAAACTCTGTAGCAAAAATATTTATTCACAAGAAAAAAAAAAAAAAAAAAAAACGTATGAATAGAAATGGTTGGTCAACAATAACCAGGAAAAACAAGACATGAAGAAAAAGCGCTTGCAAAAGAAAGGCAAGGAAATAATTAATCTGAAAATACCAAACGAAATGAAAAGAGTCCAATTAACACGACAAAAAAAAAAAGCAAGCTCAAATGACTAAACAAATGCTATATTTACAAAACGTGGAACTAAGGGAACGAATATGACGAGAGCGAGCACGAGAGGTCTAGAAAACAAACACTTGAGCAAGAGCAGCAACAAGGTCCATTAATCCTACAAGCAGGAGGCTCGCTAATTCTAGTTCTGGTTCTACGAGCTGAGCCAGCAGGACAGGTGGAGGATGTTGGAATCGGGCAAGTCCAGGACTGGAACCAGGGCCACGGACGGACCGGAGTCGCTGAGGAGGTTTTTCAAAGCATCTTCAAGTCCTGGTGGAGGAAGGAGGATTTAGACATTAGAGCAGCAGTCCCAATGGGGCTACACTTAACCCTGTGACCGGGAGCTATTCGTAAATTATTGATATTCTTAAACCCCCTTTACATTCATTGCAATGTCGACACATGTTAGAAAGGATTGAATTCCACATCCAGACCAGTCAACGTGTGTGAACAGGAGGGGGTTCTGTCTTTATTGGATGCAGTTGTTGTCTTTAGTGTGTGTGTGTGTGTGTGTGTGTGTGTGTGTGTGTGTGTGTGTGTGTGTGTGTGTGTGTGTGTGTGTGTGTGTGTGTGTGGCCGGACTACAGATGGAAAGCAGACATGTGAGATTTCCAAATGTCTTGATGACAGCCTGTCTATTTAGCGGCGGTCCGCTGGGATCACCGTCCGGTCCCGATCTGTAACGCTAATTGGCCACAAGTGTGTCTGTCTCACGGTTGGCTCATTTCTTTCAAAAGGATACACACACCAGGTATTGGAACTAGGAAAAGGCCACTTGGCGATATGTCGATGACCACAGAGGACAGCGAGCAAGCCTTGGTCCTGACGAGAACAAAAAGATCTGGTCTATATTACATCAGTCCTAAAGACTTTTCGCCGGCTCCCAATCAGCTGTAGAATCGATTTTTCAAATCATTTATAAAAAGCACGAAGACCCTACATTTGAATTCACCCAAGAGAACGGAATGGGCTGAGCAATCAGTTCCTAAATTCTGGGGATGATCAGTTGAACCATTTTCTGGTATATTGAGAAATACATATTCCACTTTATCGGTTCATGGGACTTTTATGGCACAGTCTTGCAAATTCGGCCATTGTGATGCAAGCCGAACACCGTATGTCATGTTCGCTCTGGGACGAGCGATCCGAAAGGAGAGCGTGAGCATTTCTTGATATATTGAGGCTGCAGCGCAACTGGAGGATTACCATGATTAATAGTTGATACCTTCGGGGCTCATTGGGCTTTTAAAGGAGTGGCCGAGGCCCGCAGCCGTGTGAGTTTTTAGTTGTGCTACGCTGCCTCCCAAATGGATCAAATTAGTCAAATGAACTGGCGATTATAGCAAGTGTTGGCCAATGAACATTGTTCATTTAGTAGGGGATGAGTAAAGATGCTGAGGGGCACGTAAAGACCTCTTTACCATTCATTTTTATGCGTTCTACTTCCAGAGGTGACAAAAGTAATTACAGTCTGCGTTTAAGGATAAATGCAGATACTTTTTTTTTTCTTTTCTTAAATGGCATAAAAGTAGAGGTGGCGACTGGTTACCACGTCAGCCTCACAGTGTAGAGTTGCAGGGTTCGAGTCCAGCTCTGGCCTTCCCGTGTGGAGTTTGCTAGTACAGTCAAACCTCGGTTTTCGAACGTCTCTGTTCTTGACCAAATCGGTTTTCGACCAAAAATTTCGAGGTTTTTATGCCTCGGATGACGACCGAATTTCGGTTCTCGAACAAACTGAGCGCACTTGAATGCGTCACTTGACTCCTCTCGCCTTCCTTACACGAACAGACGTGCTCAATAAATATTTTTTTTTTAAAAAGAGTGTGGTTTCGGTTTTCGAACAAATCGGTTTTCGAACAGCCTTCTGGAACGGATTATGGTCGAAAACCGAGGTATGACTGTATTCCCCCGTGCGTACGTGGGTTTTCTCCGGGTACTCCGGTGTCCTCCCACATTCCAAAAACATTTGTGGCATGTCAATGGAACTTTCAAAATTGTCCTGACGTGTGAGTGTGAGCGCGAGCGCGGCTGGTTGTTCGTCTTTGTGTGCCCTGTGATTGGCTTGAGGTTAAATAGTTTAACAATTCCACATGGTAAGAATATCTCTGCCCCTCTCCGTAAAAGTTAAACAGGGGGTTCGTCTTTGAGACAGAGGTGGGGGCTTTGGATCGTAAGTAACAAGTTGAGACAAGATGTTTAAAGGTTTCATTCGAAGCATATGCCACGTCTATCAGCTGTGAATCCTCACGCAAATAATGGAAAGAGGGAAGGGGCGGGGGGTTTACATTTTACGTCGTCTGGGCTCTGACAGCTGCACATCGCGACACTGCGAGCGCTGACGCCGGAGGTGTTACTTTTTCACCCTTTTGACTTTTCGGATTCAACGCCCCAATGAGAGTGGGCTGTGACCCATAAAGATGCCCATGGGTGGGTTTTGAGGGGGTGGGGGAGGACGCGGGGGGCGGGGCGCGGGGGCTTCGCTGCGTGTGCGTGCCAGCCAATTCCAGCTCCTCCATGATGAGTCAGGGTCTGTTTGCAGGGGAAGCGGCATCATCAGAGTGTTGACTTTGCTCCAGTTAACCAGCTAATACGGTTATCCGTTTTCACATGCTTCCAAAAGTATTGGAACGAGGAGTCCAGTTATTATTATTATTATTATTGAATATGAGACAAGTTTCGAGTTATTTCTATCTGCACTGGATATACAACTTAGAAGACAGAACATTGTCTTTTGAGGGTTTGCGTTAAAATGACCAACCACGAGGGCTGAACAATTCATCAAATCACATTACAATGTAGTAGAATGTAATTTTCAATCAGCAAAGGTTGGGGAAGAAAAAAGGGTCTTCGCAAATATGTAATCACCACCTTAAAATAAGATCAACTTTCATACTGTTGGCAAGGGTCACTCGGCGCTGCTGTTTTGGTTAGCATGAGACTTCAACGGACAATTCTGGACAAAGCAGACAAAATTGCGGGCCGACCACATCAGTCTCTAGGTCATTCACATGCACAAACTCTTTGTAACGTAGTATCTTAACTGCAGCAAAGAAAACTCAAAGTAATCTCAGCTTCAAATTGATTTCTACTACTTCTCACGTGTCGCATCATGGATAATTATGACCTTATTAGCATACATTAATTCGGGTGTGAACAAACCTTCGGTGATTTGTTTCGCCAGCACGTGGTGGCACTTGTAGAAAACCCGGGCACACAGCGGGACCAGCTCAGCCCGCGTCTTCTTGAGGGCTTTCTCAAACGTAGCGCAGATTGCATCCGTGACCTTCCGCACGTCCTCGATGACCACAGGGTGGACCTCGGTTAGGTTTAGGGACAGCGAGGCGGAGCTTCGGTCGCCAGATGTTAGGGTGTGGCACTCAATGCGGCAGTGCTGCAGCGTTGCGGTCATGTGACAGGAAGTCCTTTGGCTGGGATCATCCTGGACGGCTGTGACGTGGAGCTCGACGGCGGCGCCTTTGGGTAAAGCGGGCACGACCACCACCACCAATGGAGGGGCTTTGTTGTCAGGTCCCATAAACAACTCCTGCAATGTACACAAATGGTGTGCAAATTGTTCAATGATGCACAATGCCATTGAGAAAAAAAAAAAAACAACATAAACATCCAAAATGTTATAATTTTTTTCCAGCAGGAGTCATAATCTGTTCCAGGGCCGCATTGTTCAAATACATATGACAATTTAACATTAAATATAAAAGAGTAAAACAAATAATAATAAAAAAAAAAATGGCATTAACATTAGCATTGCTAACTCATCAAAATTTTCCAAGATCAACCGATCAAAAGCGATTCCTTGTCCATGTTCATTAGCAAAACGATTTCTTAGCCGATTTTTTTTTTTTCACAAAAACCTGACTCGTTAGCCAATGTGGTTGTTTGTCACATGAACGTAAACAAGACCACACACAGATATCAAACTGGACCACACACAGACGGACCAAGCGTCTCCTCTTTACGTGACAGCTGTGACAGGCCTTCCATTACCCGCAGATTGTGAGGTGACCCCGGGTAATGATAGTGTGCAAACAACTGACGGCAGATCCATCAAGCTTTCAGCCACCATAAACAAAATGCTAACATGACAGGTCCTACTCGTGTCAACTTTTCACCTCACCGCCAGGATCACTCCGTGGCCACACTTTTTTTAAAATCTCTTTTCTACCCCAACGGAGCGGCGGCCATTAGCCCAAACTAAAAGTATTCGGCACGGCCCCCTCTAATAATACTTGCGCTGTCATCATCCGCTAATGGGACAAAAATGAGTGTTTTATATAAGCGCCATTTCAGCCAAAGTCGATGGGGTGAAAACACTTAACCCCCTTTTCAATTTGCTGGATCAATTTTCACCCACTTACATGGCACTCTGTAAGTGCGGAATAATAACAGGTTACTCTCGTTTTTTGACTTGGATGCCCACTTGACACACACACGCACACACACACAAACACGCACGCACACTCAAAAGAAATAATTGAAAAGAGCAGCAGAAACTATTTGTCCTCACTTGGTCACCTTCAGAAACAACTTTCCGAAATGAATCGCGAATCTATGAAATATGAGAACCAAAGGGGGAAAAAGAAGTTGGTTTCGAGATAAAGGTCCTAATATTACAAGAAATAAAGGGGTACAGTATATTTTTGAGATTCAACTCGTAATGCAGTGGTGCCTTGACGTACAAGTTGAAGTCGTCGTCGCTTGTGTCGAAATGATTGGAAATTAATTTGCTTATGTTGTATCTAAAATTATGGTCCAAAAGGAAAATCGGCGATACAGTGAATCTGCAATAATCGAGCCGTAATGAAGCAAGGGAACATTGTATTGTAACCCATACAACCTTATTCCTGATAAATTATGACTAGAGATGGGAGAGTATTGATACCAGGTATCGGTATTGGTCTGATATCGACTTTATTTTAAGATATTGGGTACTCATGGAGGCTATTGATACCAGCTACCGATACTTAAGGCAGAAAAATCTGACATTGAACAAGTCCACCTTGGCAGTAGTCGAAGCTATACTGAGGCAGATTGACACATCATCAAATCATCAACTGTGTCAGAAAGAAAAGTCTATAGTCACAATTTTGTTGTCATTGGGTTAAATTAAATGCTATAGACACTATCAAAAGTACTCTATAATGCAGGGACTTATATTATTATACTATTTTTGTAAATTAAAAAAAAATGCACTATTTCACAAGTATACAACTTTATTCTCATCAAATTATGATTTGAATCTCTGACTTTTTAACAGTAAAATAAATCTAAAAAACCCACAAAAAAAGACCTTTTATTGGGGGGGGATATATACTACTTTAATAACAGTTAAATTTCATTTTATTTTTCATGATGGTCTCAATACTCGATCAATTCAAGAACAACGCGGCTCCCATGTCAAGTGACAGCACATATCCACGGCCCACGCTTTGATAAATGTTACGTTAGCACTTCTAGCTATTCCTTGTCAATCGCGATTGAACATGGAAGAGAGCAGGCGAATGAGGAGGGATGTGACAGGACTGAAGGGGTGCATTGGGGGGCGGGGGGGGGGGGGGCGCGGACTCTTGCTCAGCCAGGCTTAAAGGCCACCCTGCAGGCCTCTGGGATACCCAGCCCGGCCCGGTCCGCCAGGAAAGCGGCGCGGCGCTCCGGGACTTTGTGGTGACACGCGACTTGCTGACTTTTTAAGCTGTCGGACAAGCTCACGTCAGCCTCACGTTTGTTCTTTTATTCATGTAAAGCACAGAGTGGAAGTTGGAAGCGGTGGAAAACGCAGAAAGTTGGCATGGTGGAGCAATTTCAATTTCCACAGCAGCAGGCCCCAATAGGCCATTTTGGTATGGGACTCTTTTTTTTTTTTGTTGGGGAAAAAAAAAAAAGAGTGTGAAAGAAGTTTAATTACTAAACACTAAGATATCATGTTGCCCGGACACAGAAGCATTTTTTGGGTCAAAGCATTTTAGTCAAATGGCACATTTTTTTACCACTTCAGGCGAATTGGACTTTCCACCGTGTCCCACTGAGTAATTTGTCCAGAATTAATTTTGGGACTTGCTCTATCAACTTTGATATGCAGATATTGCACTCCAGCGGTATTGACATTTTGATATTTGCAAATTAATTCCTCCCCCAGAACCTTTCCTCTGTTATGGAAATGTGTGTGGCTATCACGGGTCAATGACTCATGTCAATTACTTTTATCCAAGGTTTAGGATTTTTACTGAGTACACCGAAATAATTTATTGACATCTTTTATTTTCAACGTATTTGACTTTTTAATACTTTACAGCTTTGATGTATGGCAGATTTCATGTCTATATTCCGTCCTCCTTCACTCGCAGGGCATGCAGCCATCATCCCTGCCGCGCTGCACTTAAGAAGTGTGACCCACCTCTCTCTTCATGTTTGTTTTCCTTCTGTCCGCTAACCGCTGTTCCGGGTGCACGACAGAAAGAGAGGCGTGAAAGCCGAACGGTAAACACGGTAATAAGGAAGCGGTGTAAAGGCAGCCGAGCAGCAGGGAGCTGATGGAACCGCGCCGCTTATCCAGTTCCCCTACATTTCCTGCTCAGCGGGACGCCGTCGGCGCCGAGCCCTCGCTGTCGTGCCGCTTGTCAGTCTGCCATTGCGCGCCTTTCCACTCGCCTTCCGTGAGCCAGGATGTTTGCGGGGAACACACGTGAGGCCTCGTAGCCGTTTACAGCAGGCCAATGGTAGGCAGCTGCGCGAATATTTTTGACAAAATCATGAAGTGCCATTAAAGAGCAAGTAAATACATCTAGATTATAAGCGGAAAAGCGCTGAAGTTGCCACATTTGTACGTGTACAATCTGAACCAACATTTCACCAAACTTCGGATTGAAACGTAATTTTCGGCGACCCGAAAATTCAGTCCGAGTACAATCAAATGCAGCACCTTTCATTTTGTTTCATTAGCATTTTTTAAAATTTAACAATGGCCTAAAAAAGGGGAATTCCCTTTTAAAATCCTCTTTCCTGTTCAAAAATGCTCAAACTTGGAGAGCTCATGCAAATTTAAAGTCCAAGCAATTCAATTATTTATCTTTATGATAAATATCAAAGAGGTGAATTCTGTATGAAATTCCTCATTCTTGTTGAAAATGAAAAAAAGTACACATTTAAGCACTTCAAGTTGCTGAATGGTCACTGAAATGGAAATTGTCCACATTAAAGTCCTTGATGATGATTGTTAGTCTTTTCTTTTTTTTTTTTAAACAAAGTAGCAATTTTCGTTTAAAAAAATGATATCTGTGTAATTCCTCATTCTTTTTCCGAATTGTAAAATATGGAGAGCTCACAGAACCTGAATGAGTCTTTATTAAAGCACTTCTTGGTTCTGCACGGTCTGCTGGCAGCTTGCATACCGTTTTACAAAGTACTGGAGTTTTCTTTTTGTCTGATAAAACATCGTCCGTGCAGTGAAACAAGTTTTATTATGGCAACTCACGTTTCATTATTTCCGATGAGAAAAAAAAAAACAACCCCCCCCCACAAAAAAAACACTGAAAACTTGAACTGTAGACGCAGAAGTTTAAACTTTATGTCTCTCATGATCTGACCCAGTTTGCATTCCTAAGCGCTGACATGTTGTCAATGTTTTACGTATTACTTATGCTATGGAGTTAGAAAACGTCAAAACTCACAGCGGCTTGTGAAATTTGAATATTGAACCCTTAAAAAAAAAAAAGTCTAGAAATGGGCAAAAGCAGCAGGAATTACCGCATGGCTTTCCAGGAAGTGACACAAAGTTGACATCCTCTTTGCCATGGCTTTTAACCCCCCCCATGTCCCCCGCCTGCTCCAACTGAGCCACAAGTTGGATGTGCACTCTTGCCTCTCTCTGTGCCCCCTTGGGGCCTATTCCCACCACGAGACATATTACAGTGGGCGGAGAGAGGCTGCCAGGGAAGACACTGGCGCTCGGGTTAGAGACGCACGGGGTTATAAACCAGGGCGGCGGAACGGAGGGTGGTGGCAGGAAAAAAGGGCTGTGGGGAAGGGGTGGGGGGCGGTGAATAAGCTGCTCTGAGAGTTGAACCTAGATCCAAAATGGTCGGGGGGTGCAAAGGATTAGGGAGGCTCTGAGGAAGACATCTGCCTCTGTGCCAAGCTGCACATTATCAAAGACGCCGGCGCTTCCCACATCATCAAGTTTTCATGAGAAACGGCGGCGGGAAATATCAGTCGCAGGGAGCGCCACCCCCCCTCGGGACACAGAAAATTCTTTACCTATTTATTTAGGCCTCTTCACAAATATGACAAAAGTTTCTGGACACCGCATTGCTACACCACCACGTGAGAATGCGGGGGGGGGGAGTTGACCCTTCTAACTTTGAACGACACCGTGTAATTCAATCTGATGATAAAATACGATTTGTATTTGTTGAGCAAAAACATAATTACATAACTCAACAGTCTGTGCATCCCATTACATCTGTATGCGACTTGGCCACTAGGGGGCAATATATAATCGTCATACAGACAAATGAATAAGAGTTACAAAACTACTTAAGCGACTCTGCAAAATGCAGTTAAGAGTTTTTGGCAGAGGTCAAACAATATATGCCTGTGGGTATTCTTGTATTATATGTCTAGGCACCATTGTATTTAAAAATAGATAAATAAAATGACGGCCAATCCAACTTACAACTTTTCCTTAATAGCAGGCCTTACTTATTGCTGAATTAGTATTTTTTGAGTTAATAATTGTATAAATGTTTTTTTTTTGTTTTGTATAAGATTGTAATGTAGACATTTATTTTTCATTTTGTTCATTTTATTTGTATTTTATTCACAGAAATTCTCAAGGATTGTAAAGTAGCAAATGTTTTAAACTGGGTAGAATATTTGAATATTTTCTTTTTTTTCCTTCAAATTTCAGCATTTAACTGTGCAAACACCATCGATTAAAATAATTAACTTTTCTGTTCTTGCTTGCAAATCAGGACAAAAGTATTGGGAAAAGTCACCGTTAGACCAACAGGAAGAGACATTTCCTTACGTTAAACCTCACTTGCGTCGCCTGCTATCTATCTATTGACTAGTACCTACTGACCTGGTCATCATCCATCACTTCCAGCATGCGCTTCCACGCAGCCTGGATGACGGCGACGTCTTGGCGTCTGGTGGCATAACAATGGGCCTGGACAACATGGACCAGGGTCAAGCTGCTGATCGTGGCCTCCAGAACCTTCTGGGCGTGGCTAAAAGCCAAGCTGGCCTGTATGCGGGGGCCTGCCTTCACCAGTTGCATGGTGCAGGGGACCAGTGCGATTTGGCCCGCACAGAACACAGCATCGTCTACCTACGGAAGAGAACGAGAACAGGACAACTGTCATTATCTCAATTAATCACATATTTTCATAGATAAATACCACACCCCAAATGTGGATTTTTTTCAACTCAGGGTGTAACACTAGGTGGCCAGAACAACCGCTTTGTTTACTACGATACCGCTGTTGTGGCACACATGGCATCTGTAAAGCTGCCATCTATATGTACAGAATATATGTATTATTTTTGTTTCATTAATTTGAATTATGTATTTATTTAATTTTAAATATGTATTTGAATTTTACCAATGGCATTTATTGACATTGGATTATATTTTAGGTGTGTTATGCACTTTGTTTAATCCATTCTTCATTAATTAAAAAAAAACAATGTTGAATTATTTTAAACTATTTTGTATTTTTCTACTTTTTTATTGAATTAATCCATTAAATTTTAAGTTCACAAATATTTTTTAAATTAATGAAAATTGCATTGCATTCAGGTACTTATTTTAAAATGTACACGTTGTTTTAGTGTATTTTTCATTTATAAACGTAATGAAGCAGTTGTGTATCTCTTTCCTTACTTCATAAGAGTTTAACTAAGTATCTTAAACACTGCATTTTTAATGCCAAAGAGGAGGCAAAACCTAAAACTCCTTTAGACTTTCAAAAAAAAAAACAAAATCAGTAAGATGCTATATCAAATTAACATTCATTATAAATATCCCTTGATTAGCGGTGCATTAATCAAGCGAGGCCCACCTCCTGATTTTCGGCTTCTTAGCGCTAACAGTTTTCATTTCACACTTCACACAAAACCTGCCGATAGCTTCCCGGCAACACCAATGTTATTTATAGGCATAATTAAGCATGTGATAATAAGCAAATTCTCTGTTAAATACCTCTGCCTGGGGTCTCCCATTACAAAAGTTGGGCTTGGATCTATCTGTTTAATGCGTAGAGACGTGCGAGGATGAGGGATGGTATTAAAGAGGTTAGGTCTTTAGAGACCCAGCGTGGGGGGTCAGAGGTGAGGCTAGCGGACACGAGCGTGTGGTCAATGCAAATATCGGCTCGTCATAATTGCTGCGCTGTGCAGGGAGCCGGTGTGCCTAAGTTAAGCCTTGCCGGGGAGGATCGAGATAATACCTGGATCATTTTATACACAATAAGACAAGCTGCTTTACTTAGACACAAAAATGTTTTGAACATATAATTGAGCATGTTGAAAATAACCACAGTACAATAATGGTTTGGTCCCAACTTCAAAGGACCGAGCCTCTCCATCCACTATCTAAAGCGCTTCTCCTCATCGGGGTCGACACCCCTAAGAAGTGCATCATCCATTGTTACACGAAGATGTTCGGTGGCTACATGTTAGCATTACAAAGAGGACTGCAGTGATACACCAAAGTCAAGATTTGATATGTATCTCAATTCCTGACGCACATTGTGTGTAGCATCAAACTGTATTTCCTTGTCTTTTTTCAAAAGAGTATACAAAATTTCTGTCTAAACTTAGTATTTCAGAATGGGTTGTGTAGTGTTTTAGCAAGGTAAGATGTACTGTAAGTAAAGACCCCAAAAGTCAAAAAACTCAGGACTCAACAATAAAACAGAAAATAATGACATCATAAATATTCATAATTTATGGCTAGCTAGCTAGCTAAATAGATAGATAGATAGATAGATAGATAGATAGATAGATAGATAGATAGATAGATAGATAGATAGATATAGAGGCGCAAAATGCTCTGAAAATACAGCGCAAAACCGCTAAGTTCGAGCCTTGGATTCCAACACATTGCCATTGGCATTTGGAAGCCAATAAAGATGATCACAGGAAAAAGAAAGCTCGCTTGTCCCTTTCTGCTTGGGACGACTGTCCAGAATTTTCGACATGAGTTCACCCCATTTGGAATTCACAAAAGAATTCACAAAAGCTCAGTGAGCATTTTGTCAATTTGAATATCAAAAGGTGCTAACAGAGGGCTCCCTCGACTGCTAAAGACAGACTCCCATTGCTGCTAGCAAGCAGGTGTGTGATGATCAATTATTGACGACGACGCTCTGGTTACTCTTTGTGGGAGGTGGAATTGGGGGAGATTTGAGGAGGGGGCGACATGGGCGAATACTATTAACATAAAATTAACAGTTCAAAAGAATGACTTCACACACCGATCAAACTTGTTAATTGACTGTCAATGCGGTGTGCCGCCGCATACACACAACACGCGCGCGCACACACACGCGCACGCGCGCACACACACACACACACACACACACACACACACACACACACACACACACACACACACACACACACACACACACAGCTACATTATTCATCTCGGACCCTGACAGGGAAGACAGTCCAATTTGCATGGGCGTTCCCGACGTGATCAACAACCCCTGACGCCGCATGCATTTTTAATAGCAGACCCTCCTTAATATTCATGAGGGGGCAAACAATCGCACATGACATTAAACTTTCTATAACAAGGTAAGTAGTTTTCAAACGCTCGTCTTAGCCGTCTAAACGGCCCGCGGAGACAAGACAGGATGCGGCGCATTACCGCAGATGCGCTGCACCCGTGCGGCCATTTTGATGTCCTTTATTTGTCGTTGATCGATTTTGATGATTTAACATGATGTCATGCGGTGGTTGTGGGCTTTCAGTTTTTTTGTTTTGCCAAGCATATTTTGGTTTTCCCATGGCGTTTTTGTTTCTCACAAACTATCATGACATTGCAAGACTTCATTGCAGTCATCTCTTCCCAGCCAACGTCCATCTTTCCAAAACTAGTGTACAGAGTTTCTTTGCCGATGGGTGAAATGTCTAGTGAGGAACTTTGGAACGTGATGCTTCCGCTGTAGCAGTGATAAATGATGATCTTAAACTGCCATGACGTTAGTTGTGTCCGCATGGCACCGGCAGTTTGTACTTTATTGCTTTGCTGCTGTATATTTAGCCATATGCCAACATGTTCTGACCATGATATATTGCTAGAAAACTGCTACCCATGACATGAAGCCCTCACACTGGACCAAAAAAAAAAAAAAAGCCTGGTTGCTGTGGGTATGTCGTCGCTTCTTAAATACACTTTCCCCAAAGAGAGTGTATCATTACCACATTTCCATGTTGTTTATCCTTAAACAAATATGACTCATGTTAGCATCGGTTAGTGGGATTTTGATGGGAAAATCGAGTGGCATATTGCACTTTCAAAACAAAATGGTATGGTATTGTAAATGGATTGTATATGCATGAATAATAATAATAAAACATTTAGGGAATGATAAATCAATATACCTTTGGGGCAAAGACACACACGCACGCACGCACGCACGCACGCACGCACGCACGCACGCACGCACACACACACACACACACACACACACACACACACACACACACACAGAATGTATGTCCCAGATCTCTGCATTCCGGAAGCAAAGGGGCCAGTGGTTGAGGACCAGCGATGTTGATTTTTACGTTCGCTTATTCATTAGCATGTAGCTATCAGCTATTGGCAGATATGTGTGTGTCGTTTCCCTGTCTGATGACATGATTGGTTGATTTGATTTGACACTTGTGTGACCCGCAGAGTTCGCAACTGAGTCACACCTACCTGCTTTGTTTGAAATAAGCCTCATTTTTGCTTCTTGCTTATCTACGACTTGTTAAAAGGTTATCAAAGACTTTTTCTATGGATACTAACTTCATGTAAATGCACCCAGGGAAACTCTGTGGAGCACTAATGGTGTCTTCTTTCAGGCTGAAGTGTTTCTAATTGGGTTTACCTTTTCTTTTTTCTTTTCTTTTTTTTTTGTCAGACACTTTTCCACAGATGACCAGATAGCACCGGACTGTACTTGTTCTCAGAAGCCCTCTGGGGGCCACGCTGCATCCATCCGAGGAACATCTCCCGGTGTCATTAGCAGAGTTTGGAAGATAGCTGAACTGGGATAAAATTACCCACTATTGATGAACAGTCAGGATTTCCGGCTGGTTCCAAGGACAGGAGGAAAGAAAAGCATCTCGAACGCACCTTTCAGCTATGCTCATGGTCACGTTTGTCCCCGCAGAGGGCTCATGCATAATTTAAGCGGGAAAACGAGCATGCAAAATGTGTCAAATAGGTTTAATTAAATGGGTATAATGTTGCTTAATGTAAGGGCACATGCAAACTAACTACAGGGGTAGTGTTATGCATTAAGAGCTCTTGTTATTTAATTGCATGTTTATTACCGTGTAATTACCACTTTTTATATATATAAATTTTAATTATTCTGTAGACTTGTGCAGTAGTTCATTAATTCCCATCTCAAAACATTTAATAATACTGAAATGCCAACTCTGTACACTTATTCATATTTTCATCACAATGACTGACAAACTGCTATGAGAAAATTCGCCCAAATTAGCCCCAAATCAGAAGTACGTAACCAACACAGATGGACAATGTTAAATTGTTAAGCTTTTTTCAGCCCGACAGCAGCTAATCCGGACAGCACATGGTGTTAGAATTCAATGATCATTTTGGATAACAGCTTCAACTGGACTTTTTAAAAAATGTTTTCGCAACAACAATCCGGTAAATGGATGCTGGACTAAAGCGGGGAAAGCCATTTATATTTATTCTAAATGAAGGGGTCTTTGTTTGAATTTCCAACCACACAGAGGAACATTTGTCATTTTTGCCACGGTGTCATTTGTTTTGCAAATGTGGAGTTAGTTAAGGGTGAAGGGAGACAAAACGTTGATGCTTGACTCCTCTTCTTTAATTTGAAACGCTGGAGTCTTTGCTAGAACTTTGGATCCCTCTCGGGGACATTTTTAATACATGTGACAAAACTCCAAAAAGTTTTTATTGATGTCTAGTCTTTTCCACTCTTTAACGAATACTTCAAGTACGGCAAATACGGTATGTGGCAAAAATAAATAAATAAAAAATCTGAACAATGTCAAAAGCCTTCAACTCAAATTACATTTTGATAAGAAAATATGTCTCGTATAATTAGAATG